ACCCTGTGTAAAGAGAAGAATCGTTTTTCCCTACCTCTTCATACATACACAATTTTATAGTTTTACAAGAACTAATTCGTTTTGAGTCAGTCTAATATCTTTAACTTTATGTACATTTTTACATAAAAACACATACTAAAACAAAAAAATTCCCTCACTCTCATTTTTCACGTACCTACACACATATACACCTGAGCAACAACAGGTCTTTTTTCTCATTTATTTACTTGTATTATTCATATATTTTTTCATTCTTGTTTTAAATAGTTAAAGAGCATGTATTAAATAGTTTTTGTTTTAACTTTTTGTGCACCAAAGTGTGGTTTCATGTACTAAGAGTGTGTACGTGAGGTTTTTGTTATTATTGTTATTTTCATTATAATAATTTACATTGCATACTTAAAGGCGTTAAAGGTTGTGTTTTTACTCTATACCAACAACTTGTTGTCTATTAGGGTGTCTTAGTCTGTAGACTACAGACTAGTCTATAAAAACACTAGAATATAGATTGGACTATATACCATACTATAGACTAGACAAGCCTATAGACTAGACTATAGACTAGACTATAGACTAGACTATAGACTAGACTATAGACTAGACTATAGACTAGACTATAGACTAGACTATAGACTAGACTATAGACTAGACTATAGACTAGACTTAGACTAGATTATAGACTAGACTATAGACTAGACCATAGACTAGACTATAGACTAGACTATAGACTAGACTATAGACTAGACTATAGACTAGACTATAGACTAGACTATAGACTAGACTATAGACTAGACTATAGACTAGACTATAGACTAGACTATAGACTAGACTATAGACTAGACTATAGACTAGACTATAGACTAGACTATAGACTAGACTATAGACTAGACTATAGACTAGACTATAGACTAGACTATAGACTAGACTGTGGACTAGATTATAGACCAGACTATCGACTAGACTATAGGCTAGACTATAGACTAACTATAGACTAGACTATAGACTAGACGATAGACTAGACTATAGACTAGACTATAGACTAGACTATAGACTAGACTATAGACTAGACTATAGACTAGACTATAGACAGACTATAGGCTAGACTATAGACTAGACTATAGACTATAGACTAGACTATAGACTATAGACTAGACTATAGACTAGACTATAGACTATAGACTAGACTATAGACTAGACTATAGACTATAGACTAGACTATAGACTAGACTATAGACTAGACTATAGACTAGACTATAGACTAGACTATAGACTACTATAGACTAGACTATAGACTAGACTATAGACTAGACTATAGACTAGACTATAGACTAGACTATAGACTAGACTATAGACTAGACTATAGACTAGACTATAGACTAGTCTATAGACTAGCCTATAGACTAGACTATAGACTAGACTATAGACTAGACTATAGACTAGACTATAGACTGGACTATAGACTAGACTATAGACTAGACTATAGACTAGACTATAGACTAGACTATAGACTAGACTATAGACTAGACTATAGACTAGACTATAGACTAGACTATAGACTAGACTATAGACTAGACTATAGACTAGACTATAGACTAGACTATAGACTAGACTATAGACTAGACTATAGACTAGACTATAGACTAGACTATAGACTAGACTATAGACTAGACTATAGACTAGACTATAGACTAGACTATAGACTAGACTATAGACTAGACTATAGACTAGACTATAGACTAGACTATAGACTAGACTATAGACTAGACTATAGACTAGACTATAGACTAGACTATAGACTATAGACTAGACTATAGACTAGACTATAGACTAGACTATAGACTAGACTATAGACTAGACTATAGACTAGACTAAGACTAGACTATAGACTAGACTATAGACTAGACTATAGACTAGACTATAGACTAGACTATAGACTAGACTATAAACTAGACTATAGACTAGACTATAGACTAACTATAGACTAGACTGTAGACTAGACTATAGACTAGACTATAGACTAGACTGTAGACTAGACTATAGACTAGACTATAGACTAGACTATAGACTAGACTATAGACTAGACTATAGACTAGACTATAGACTAGACTATAGACTAGACTATAGACTAGACTATAGACTAGACTATAGACTAGACTATAGACTAGACTATAGACTAGACTATAGACTAGACTATAGACTAGACTATAGACTAGACTATAGACTAGACTATAGACTAGACTATAGACTAGACTATAGACTAGACTATAGACTAGACTATAGACTAGACTATAGACTAGACTATAGACTAGACTATAGACTGGACTACAGACTAGACTATAGACTAGACTACAGACTAGACTATAGACTAGACTATAGACTAGACTACTACTTTAATATCAATTACCATTTTACTCCCTGTAACAGGTCCTCCCTTATGTATGTATACCTATGTATGTAATTAAATTGTATTGGTATTTACTGAACATTTTAGTATGTACTCTAAAAAATTTTAACATTTTTGTTCCATTTAAATATTTATTTTTTCCTGCCATTTTTTATTCATAAAATTATAGTGTTTTCACTCTCGTTTGTGTACATATAATCGTAATAAGGTTAGAATTGAGTCATTAAAGATGCAAAATATAGAATAAATATTTATATACTTTAGTTGAGTACTTACATTACAAACCTTAAACTTTAAAGAGTGATTAAACTAAAATAATGCTGCAGAGATAAAGAAACTTATGTAGGACTAGTCCTTTAACGAGTGCTAAGGGAAAACGGTTTGGGTGCAAACATTTTATATGAAGAACATCTGACATTTTAAGGCGGCAATGGAAATTTTGTTAAGTAGAGTCTCTGGAGTCATTAAAGCCTTCAACCCGCATACTGTTAAATTATACCATTAACACCAAACTTAAATTACTTTTTTTCATAGTTTTAAATTTAAATTCACTTTTAGTTAAATTTAAGAAATATCGTCCCTTTTTTAAAAGGCTTTTTTTCACATCATAGTATTGATTTTTATTTTTACAGTAATTTTTATGATTCTCAGTCCTTAAATTTGCATAAATAAATAAATAAATTATTTTAGTTTACATTGAATGAAATTGTGTTGATTTTTATCAGTAAAGAACAACAAAAAAATTTTCATTATTTTTATTGAATATCATTTCGCTAATGTAGTAGTAGAGTTATTATGACATGTATAAAAATATATATATAAATAATAATTTTTTTTAAAGAAAAATTATAATAAACTTAATTATATTTGACACAAAATGGATTAATTTTTAAAGCGTTTATTAAAAAAAAACGAAAATAAATTGTTGAATTTTAATTACATTTGATTAGATATAGAAAAGAAAGTTTGTTCATGTAACTTTCCCTTAAGATACATGGGATACCTGACCTAAATTCCACCATAAGGATATAAATGTTGTTAAAATTTTTGGAAAACTCTAAGATCTCAAGGCTTTTTAGTAAATATCTAATGAGTTCGTCTTGGATATGAGCTAAATCTTATGTTGGCTTCGAAATGCCATGATATCTCAGGAATGTTTATTCAATGGCAAGTTTTATTCTATTGCAGATACATATTTGCTAAAATCTTTTCTAAGATATAATCATAAAGTTTAAGCTCAAACAATAAATGTCGATTGTTATAGCTATCATATACTAGATTTCAAAATTTCATTCAAAGTCGTACAGTATTTCCCCTGAATTAGTTAAAATAACAATTTTAGTTTTCTATGCAGTTTTTTGTTACTTTTCTTTGAATAACATTTCAATGGAAAAAGACTAAATTGTTCAAAAATGTTTGTCTGTTTTCTGATTCAATTTTCACTTGAAATCTATTTTTTCTGATTTAATTGAGTTGGAAGTTATAGCTGAAGTAAGTTAGAGTTTATGAGTCGAATAAGACATGTCCGTCCGTCTGTCTGTAAGGCTGGCTGACTGTCCATGTAAACCTTGTGCGCAAGGTATTTCAGCATAAGGAGGAAGAGTATGTCATTAAGTCGAAGAGTATGTGCCAAATTTGATCAAATTATCTCGAAAATTTGCGACCTGTAGCGTGCGCCCAAGGTTCACACACAGACGGACAGACACAAGGTTTACACACAGACGGACAGACACAAAGTTTACACACAAAGATGGACAGACACAAGGTTTACACACAGACAGACAGACAGACAGACAGACGGACAGAGAGACAGACAGACAGACAGACAGACAGACAGACAGACAGACAGACAGACAGACAGACATACAGACATACAGACAGACACACAGACAGACAGACAGACAGACAGACAGACAGACAGACAGACAGGCAGACAGACAGACAGACATGAATTGATGAATTAAAAAACACCAGTAAAAATCTTATTCATAAACAAATGTTTATTTTATAAACATTTTATAAATCAAACTTAGTAAAGAAATTTTGTTTTATAAACCTTTTATAAACTAAAATGTTGTTTATAAATGAGGGGCTAAATACATAGACAGACGGACAGACAGACAGACAGACAGACAGACAGACAGACAGACAGACAGACAGACAGACAGATAGACAGACGGACGGACAAAAAATAGTACCCAATTATAGTTTTTACACAATTATTCCCTAAAAGAGATGAATTAAAAAACACCAGTAAAAATCTTATTCATAAATCAAACTTAGTAGAGAAATTTTGTTTTATAAACCTTTTATAAACTAAAATGTTGTTTATCAATGAGGGGCTAAATACATTATTGAAACAAATTTGGAAATTTGAACAACATAAGATGTTTTTGTTAAAAATTAAAACTAATAATAATTAAAACCAAGAAATTATCTTAACAAATGCAAACAGACTTTAAACCTAGTTATGTCCATCAAAACAACTTCTGTTCCAAGAATACATTTAAATTGTTAATAAAAATACAATAAAGAAAAAAAAAGTTTATTATTAAACACAATTTTAAAAACATCAATGGAAAATTTATTATGTAATATGGCGAGTGGTAGTCGTTACTCGTCATATAACTGTTTGACATCGTGGGATTCATATGATAAAATACCGAGGTAAGTGGTTTTCAGAGGAAAGTTTTCTTAAAATTAAAACTTAAATTCTCTATCTATATGAGAATTCAAACCAAATTTATTTCCTTCAACTAATAAATTTATTATAACGTTTGTAATTACTAAAAAAATAATCTGGATACTCGATTAAACTTTGTCCGTCCGACCTAAAGGATCATAAGTATTTTAAAGGAAAATATGAGTGATCACCAAATAAGTTCCTTTTGCTCTTATAAAGAGTATTTTTTTCTTTTTGAAGGAATCACGAAATAGGTTTCTTTTACAATTTAAACGCTATGAAAGATTCTATACCCAGAATACAATAAAACTCTCCTACTTGTTAAATTTCTTTTTTTTTAAGTTTTTTTTGTCTCTAGAAAAGACAAAACAGAAAAGGAAATAATAAAAAAAGTATTTTTTTTAAGAAAATTGAATTTCGTAAGTTAATAGAAATTCAATTTACTATTCATTGATTTTTTTATATTTTTGTTCTTCTCTCATCATTCGACAAAAACAAAGTGCAAAACATGTAGTGTGAGTTAAGGGAGGTTGTTATGGTAGCAATGAATGTTCTTTTTTACACGCTAAACTTTACTTAGCAAATTTTAAAGATAAACATTAAGACAAATTATTGTTGTTGTAGGTAATTTGATTTTAGGTAAAATCATCTTAAGTATTAGATGTTCTCGTCTGTTGAAAGAAATTTAAGATATTTTAACACTTAAAGTTTTCTGAAATGTTTTTTTTTTTTTTTTTGGGGAATATTGCCTGAGGGCAGCAAATAGCTTTTAGAAAGTAATTGTATTAAATTATTAAATAATTGTTAGTAAATTAATAGCTTGAGAATTTAAAGTTTGGGGGCAGAATTTTTAACAGTAGTTAAAATTTAATACTAATTTTGTAACAAAAACTAACTGGTGTTTGGTTTTAATTGTATTTGTAATGAAGCCACTTCCAAAGCTTTTAATAAATTTTGCTTTAAAGGGAAGACATTAAACAGTGCAGACAAAGAAAATTAACGCCAGGACTCTACTTACACAATCACAAAACTTAACATCAATACGTCTAGCAGTTTTATGTGGGACAAAATGTCACTTTTAGTATGTATTAACAAAGTAACTAACTAACTAACTAACTAACTACTAACTAACTAACTAACTAACTAACTAACTAACTAACTAACTAACTAACTAACTAACTAACTAACTACTAACTAACTAACTAACTAACTAACTAACTAACTAACTAACTAACTAACTAACTAACTAACTAACTAACTAACTACTAACTAACTAACTAACTAACTAACTAACTAACTAACTAACTAACTAACTAACTAACTAACTAACTACTAACTAACTAACTAACTAACTAACTAACTAACTAACTAACTAACTAACTACTAACTAACTACTAACTAACTAACTAACTAACTACTAACTAACTAACTAACTAACTAACTAACTAACTACTAACTAACTAACTAACTAACTAACTAACTAACTAACTAACTAACTAACTAACTAACTAACTAACTAACTAACTAACTAACTAACTAACTAACTACTAACTAACTAACTAACTACTAACTAACTAACTAACTAACTAACTAACTAACTAACTAACTAACTAACTAACTAACTAACTAACTAACTAACTAACTAACTAACTAACTAACTAACTAACTAACTAACTAACTAACTAACTAACTAACTAACTAACTAACTAACTAACTAACTACTAACTAACTAACTAACTAACTAACTAACTAACTAACTAACTAACTAACTAACTAACTAACTAACTACTAACTAACTAACTAACTACTAACTAACTAACTAACTAACTAACTAACTAACTAACTAACTAACTAACTAACTAACTACTAACTAACTAACTAACTAACTAACTAACTAACTAACTAACTAACTAACTAACTAACTAACTAACTAACTAACTAACTAACTAACTAACTAACTAACTAACTAACTAACTAACTAACTAACTAACTACTAACTAACTAACTAACTAACTAACTAACTAACTAACTAACTAACTAACTAACTAACTAACTAACTAACTAACTAACTAACTAACTAACTAACTAACTAACTAACTAACTAACTAACTAACTAACTAACTAACTAACTAACTAACTAACTAACTAACTAACTAACTAACTAACTAACTAACTAACTAACTAACTAACTAACTAACTAACTAACTACTAACTAACTAACTAACTACTAACTAACTAACTAACTAACTAACTAACTAACTAACTAACTAACTAACTAACTAACTAACTAACTACTAACTAACTAACTAACTAACTAACTAACTAACTAACTAACTAACTAACTAACTAACTAACTAACTAACTACTAACTAACTAACTAACTAACTAACTAACTAACTAACTAACTAACTAACTAACTAACTAACTACTAACTAACTAACTAACTAACTAACTAACTAACTAACTAACTAACTAACTAACTAACTAACTAACTAACTAACTAACTAACTAACTAACTAACTAACTAACTAACTAACTACTAACTACTAACTAACTAACTAACTAACTAACTAACTAACTAACTAACTAACTAACTAACTACTAACTAACTAACTAACTAACTAACTAACTAACTAACTACTAACTAACTAACTAACTAACTAACTACTAACTAACTAACTAACTAACTAACTAACTGACTAAGGACGTTTAATTTTCATTAAAGAAGTAAGAATTTATAGTCGGGCATGCTGACCATATGATACCCTACACCAGTAATTGTGTTAAAATTTTGATTATTTTTTAATCATAAAGCATTTCATTTAATTTTTACCTTAATACAGAAAAAAAACCAACAATTTGTTTATAAAAAGAGGGGTTATATGGGGCCGACGGGTTAATATGGACCTATCCTTATAAATTTTGGTAGAGGGATTCACGTCTAAATTAAAGTTTTTCAGCTGGATATCATCGTGATAATAGTGTTTATAAGTGAATTTTTACCATCAAGTCATGTTCTAAGGGGACTTTGTATGGCAGAAAGGGTCAAAAGAGGCCCAATCATTACGAATGTCAGCAGTATTATTAGGACTTATATAAAACTAAGTTTAGTTGTGTTTTGGAGTGATACAAGAACATTGTGAGAACATCATGAGCTCAAAAGCCTTATTCGGTGGGTACGGTTGTATGGGGGCTATACGAAAAAAAGGGACTATTTTTAAGCATTTTCAATAGGCATCGGCGCTTAGGTCAAAAGAACAGTATGTGTTAAATTTTTTCAAATTATCTTGATAATTGCGGCCTGTAGTATCCGCACAAGATTTGCATGGACAGACAGACGAACTGATGGACAGACAGACAGACAGACGGGCATATGACTCAGAAAGTGATTGTGAGCTGATTCGTATACCTTAAGGTGTGTAGGACCAATATTTCTGTTTGTTACAAACATCAGTACAAACGCATAATACTCTCCCCCTACGTCCCATCTTCCAAAAAAATTTTCAGAAAAAAACATAAATTAAAATGTAAGAAATGAACTATGCGAAATAAAATCAGATGCATAAGTTTTCAATTTTGGAATAATATGTAAATATTTTCAAATTTTTTTAAATTAAAACACACCAATAACATAAATCAAACATTTATGCACTCGAAACTGCAGGGTTTTATGGTTTGCCTTAACAAAGAGGTAATTGAACTGCTATAAACAATCATTTGCACTGGGATTTCTTTATTCCGTTTCATTACTCATACTACTTTCCTTGGTTTTTTTGTCTCGATTTATTTTTCTGCAATCTATTGCTGCTAAAATTTGTTAAATACAGAAAACAAAATGAAAAATTATACAGTTTAATGCTCTTGAAATATTATAAATTTTGCTGCTATTACTTAGGTTAATAAATCTATTTGTGTCTGCTGCGGTTTTTTTTATATGTTAATGACTTGCGTTAAGTGCATTGAAATATATTTGATAGTATTTTCCTAAAATTAAAAGTTGTTAAAAAAAAAACCATTTAAAAAAATAAAAAGTTCTGCTGAGAAAAATGTTGTGTATTTCAGCCTATTTGTCTGTCTCTCTGTCTAATTCATAGAAGGATATATCTTAATCGACCGTTTTTTTCCTTCTTTTAATAATTGAAGAAAATTTCTTTCGCATTTAACTAAATAGATAAACAATTTAAGTACATTTTTATTCTTCCTACATTAAATCAAACTTTGTATTAGTATTTTCTTATCCGTACCACAAAATGATATTCGTTTGATAAGATTTTCTTTGGAATAAGAAAGATTCCAAAGAAATAGTTTAATTTCGTTTTATTGACATATAAATTGGCTTTTGTGTGCTTAGTTCTGCGGGCTTGTTTGTTGTGAATATCTGTATTTCCTATAAGTAGTAGTTGGTTTACTTCATTAACTTAATCTTTATTAACATTAAAAGTTTATTAAGAAGTTTTAAGCCTAGTCATATAACAACCCTCACATTATTAGTAAAATATTAGAATTATTCAAGCATAAATTCATTACAGTTTCATCATCATCATGTTGTCTTAATAATAAAGCATTTCCTTAATCCTTAAAATTGCTTAAAGAAAATCCTTTTTATTGCCACAGACTTTATTCATAAATTTATTGAATTATTTGTATTTTGGTTTCACTAACTCATCCTATTTTATATTTAAAAAAAAAAAACCATTCTTAAATTACACATAAACAGAATGTATGAAGTTATACAGGGCGTATGATTGTTGTTGGTTTTTAATTACATTACAAAATTACTCATACGTTGTGGAGGTTTAATTACAAACCTACAAGTAATAACTAACTCTAAATTTTAAGACTTTTGTCAGATAAAACACAATGCTATAAGTTCAACTTTAGATAAATGTATTTGCTTTAAAATTATTACATTAAATTCAATATATTTGCCTCAATACAAAAGTTTTTTTATTCTTCAAAATTTCCACAAAAAATGTATACTTTA